CATATTTATTTGTTTTTATTTTATGTGTATGAATGTATTCCTTGCATGTATGTAAGTGCACCCATGCATGCAATGTCTGTGGAAGCCAGAAGACGGCACTGGACCTGCTTGAACTGGAGTTACAGGCAGTAGTTAGTTGACATGTGGATGCTGGGAACTGAACAGAGGTCTTCTGCAAGATCAGCTAGTGCTCGTAATCACTGAACCATCTCTCCAGCCCTTTAAAAAAATTTGGATTTAAAAAAAAAATTTATCGAGCTGGGAGTGGTGGCGCACGGGAAGCAGAGGCAGGCAGATCTCTGTGAGTTCAACGCCAGCCTGGTCTACATAGTGAGTTCCAGGAAAGTTGGGGCTACAGGGAGACCCTGTCTCAAAAAGACCAAAAAAAAAATTTATTGAATTTTTGTGTATTTCATACAGAACATCTTAATCATCTTTATATCCCCTTCCCCATTTGCCCCCTCCCATAGCCCCTCCACTTGAATTCACACATTCTATCATTGGTGTTAAGGCCTATCATGTTAAGTGTCACCAGCTGTCCCTCAGTGCAAATTCATTCACTGAGGTCTAGTCAGCCTTTAAGAAGATCAGCTCTTAGCTGGGCATGGTGGCATATGCCTTTAGTTCCAGCACTTGGGTGGCAGAGGCAGGTGGAGCACTGTGAGTTCAAGGCCAGCCTGGTCTACATAGTGACTTCCAGGTCAACTGGGGCTACAGGGACAGCGTGTCTCAAAAAGACAAAAAAAAAAAAAAGCGGGGGGGGGGGCTGTGGTCCATTTCCCCAGTTCTGTGCTGGGGTTTTGTCTGCTTGAGTTTGCATGGGTCTTGTGCATGCTGACACCATTGCTGTAGGTTCCTATGAATCTCTGAGATCTATGCCCTCTCCAGCTATGTGTATTTGGCTAGGTTTACAGCACCACACATGAGTCTCCTCACATTAAGTCTAATAAGGTAGCTGTTAATTACCCCCAAGATAAAAGCACCACTACTGCACCAATGTTGTTTGCTGTGCTGGTCATTGATGTGGTTTTTAGGCCTTGTAGCTGGGGTTGGACCATATTTTTATTTATGTGTATACATATTTTGCTTGTATGCATGTAAGTGTACCATGTGCATGCAGTGCCAGTGGAGACCAGAAGAGGGCATATCAGATCCCTTGGAACTGGAGTTACAGGTGGTTATTAGCCACCATTTCGGTGATAGGAACCAAATTCAGGTCCTCTGCAAGAGCAGCCAGTGCTTTTAACTACTGAATCATCTCTTCAGCCCTCCAGTTCCTGATTTTTGATCTAATATACTAACATCTGTCTTCTGATTGGGAAATTGAGGTCATTGACATTCAGAATTATTGAGAGATGGGGACATTTGTTGATTTTGTACTGTTTCTCTTTTTTCCTCTTCCTCTCTTACTTAACTATAGTTTATTCTTTTCTGTAGTTTATTCTTTCCTGTAGTATTGTGGGTGACTTGTTTTTTCTCTCCAATCCGAAGGATTCCTTCAAGTTTTTCTATAGAGCTGGCTTCATGGTCATAACTTTCTTCAGTCTGTTCTTGTCATAGGAAGTTTTTGTTTTTCCCTTCAATTATGATGATAGTTTTGCTGGTTATAGCATTCTGGTTGTCAGTTCTTGCCTTTCAGAATTTGAAACACATCTTACAGAGCCTCCTGTCAAAGTTTCAATTGACTAATTTGCTGTTATTATGACGGGCCTGCCTTTGTTCTCTATATTTAATGTTTTAATTATATGACATGGTCTTATCTATTTGATGTCATAAATTCCTATATCTAGATTGGCATCTCTTTTATTAACTCTCTGAAATTTTCTGTTATAACTTGTTTTAAAATGTCTTCTATGCTTTTAGAAATAAGTTCTTCTTCTTGTATGCCTATTATTCACAGATCTGGTCTTTTCAGAGTGTTGCATAAATCTAGGAATTCCTGCTAGTAACTTCTACTATCTTTTTATTTATTGTTTGTTTTGTTTTTTGAGACAGGGTCTCCCTATAGCCCCCGATGGTCTGGAACTCATTCTGCAGACCAAGCTTGCCTTAAACTCACATAGATCCACCTGCCTCTACCTCCCAAGTGCTGGGACTAAAGGTGTGTGTCACCACACCCCGCTTCTTTATTATGTTGTATGAATGTTAAGCCTGCACCATGGCACATGTATGGAGGTCAGAGGACAACTTTCAGGAGTCAATTCTCTATTTCCACTGTGGGATCTGGGTTGAAATTCAGGTAATTAGGCTTGTGCAGCAAGTGCTTTACCCACTGAGCCATTTGGTGGCCCAGAAAAAGTATTTTTTCAATGTACAGATAAGTTCAGCACAGTAGCACATACTTACAATACCAGTTGCTCAGGAGGCTGGGGCAGGAGGAGCTCTTGTGTGGTGTGTGAGAACAGCCTGAGCAACACAGTGAGTTCTAAAAAAAAAAAAAAAAAAATGAAAGGAGGGCCGGGTGTGGTGGGATACCCTTTAATCACAGCACACAGGAGGCAGAGGCTGGTGGGTATTTGTGAATTGGAAGCCAGCCTAATCTACATACAGAGTTCCAGGCCAGCTGGAATTACAAGGAGATCTTGTGTGAAAAAAACATAATTAACTAGTTCAAGGCCAGCCTGGTCTACATAGTGAGTTCCAGGCCAGCTGGAGCTAGAGGGAGACCCTGTCTCAAAGCCATAAAAAAGCCCGTAATTAACTAATTAATTAAAAAAACCATAATTAACTAATTAAAAAAATAATTAACTAATTAATTAAAAAAACATAATTAACTAATTAATTAAAAATAAGGCCAGGCATGGTGGCACATGCCTTTAATCCCAGCACTAGGGAGGCAGAGGCAGGCAGATCTCTGTGAGTTTGAGGACAGCCTGGTCTCCATAGTGAATCCAGGACAGCTGGAGCTACAGGGAGACCCTTGTCTCAAAAAGACCAAAAAAAGAAAAAAGAAAGCAGGGAGGGCAAGAAGAAAGGAAAGGGGGAAAAAAAACTTTTTATTAGAGAACCATCTATAATTTGTTGAAGACTATCTTTCCCACTTCTGAATTGTGTTGGTATTCTTGTCAAATAGCAATCTACCATGAATTCGTGGGTTCATCTTTGAATATCAGTCTGGTCCTTTTGTCTATCCTTATGCCAGAACACATACCACCTTGATTATTGTAGCTCTGTGGTATACTTTGAAATCAAGAAGTATGTCGTCCAACTGGGTTCTTTTTCAAGGTAGTTTTGGTTATTCTAATCCTCTTGCATTTATGTATAAAATTTAAGATTATATCCTCAATTGCTTCAATGAAACAAGCCAGGATTTTGATATCATATTCGTATCATCAGTGTTTTGTAGGATTGCTATGAATTTAAGGTCAGCTAGGGCTAGAGTGAGTATCAGGTCAGCCTGAGGGATAGCGTGATAATTTGTCTCAAAGAAAAGAGGAGAGGGAGAG